GGCTGCACTGGGACGGCCTCCGGAATGACAGCGGGCTGCACTGGGACGGCCTCTGGAATGACAGCAGGCTGCACTGGGACGACCACTGGAATGACAGCGGGCTGTTCGGGGACGACCACCGGAATGACAGCGGGCTGTACTGGGACGGCCTCCGGAATGACAGCGGGCTGCACTGGGACGGCCTCCGGAATGACAGCGGGCTGCACGGGAACGACCACCGGAATGACAGCGGGCTGCACTGGGACGACCACCGGAATGACAGCGGGCTGCACTGGGATGGCCTCCGGAATGACAGCGGGCTGCACTGGGACGGCCTCCGGAATGATAGCGGGCTGCACTGGGACGGCCTCCGGAATGACAGCGGGCTGCACTGGGACGACCACTGGAATGACAGCGGGCTGTTCGGGGACGACCACCGGAATGACAGCGGGCTGCACTGGGACGGCCTCCGGAATGACAGCGGGCTGCACTGGGACGACCACCGGAATGACAGCGGGCTGCACTGGGACGACCACCGGAATGACAGCGGGCTGCACTGGGACGACCACCGGAATGACAGCGGGCTGCACTGGGACGACCACCGGGACGACAGCGGGCTGCACTGGGACGTTGGAGAGGCAGGAGGTCCTCCTCCTCTTCCGCCATCCTTGATGGCGAGGTGCAGGCTCTGGGCTGGACGGGACCAGCGGTGAAGGGAGCTCAGGGCTGGGCAGAATCAATGGCCAAGGGTCAAAGAGGGGGCAAAGTGGAGGATGGTGTCGGGGTCCATCTCGACCACCTACTCCCCTGCGGCCTCCACGGGTTCCAGAAAACTTGGCCAGACGGGTTCCCACAAAAGATTGTCTATGGAGGGGGGTGTCGGCTGACCAGGCGTCAGCTGGGCTGCTGGAAGGGGGCTTAGGGGAGTTGACCGCCATGTTCTCCTCCGTCTGACGAGCCCACAAGGCAAAACACTCAAATAAAGTCGCGGCTCTGGCTCTTCAGACCGAGAGTTCCTCCTCTGCTGCCTCCTCTCCCTCTCGGTGGCTGGGGAAGATACACGAAAACCCATACTGCTGGATCTTTGCATGACGGAGTCATTCTGTCACGATACACACACGGGAAACAGTAGATCCAATTGCCGTATTTATTGGGTAATCCGTAATACGTTATCCAGTCCAGGCAAGGGTCAAATTCCATACAAGTCAGTCCAAGAATAAGAATAAAACAAGAAACAAGCAGACAGACCTTCGGAAGTGTGGTGACAAATAACAACGAGTCCGTGACAAACACTGAAACAAACAGGGTATATATACACACACAGATACTAACAAGGTGATGGGAAACAGTTGTGTGCAATGATCAATGAGTGACAGAACAGGATGATGGGAATTGTAGTATTGAGTGAATGACACCGTGGGGGAAGAGGACCTCTGGTGGTTTCCCAGGGAAACACAAACTGTGACAATATCAGCACATATTCTTAAAGGAGAACTCCGGCGCAAAATGAACCTTTGGTCTAATTACACATTGGTACCTAGTCAACCGTTATCTGAGATTTGTTTTCATGATTATCGAATGTAAATAGTTTTATCTCTAAAAACAGTTTAGCCTATAAAGCTAGTATAACGCTAGTATATTGGGCATAGATCAATGACACATAAAAATCGCTTGTTAATACCACTAACAAGGCTCAAAATAGCCCCACACTAGCACGGTAGCATAATGAGGGTCCCTACCTTCAAACCGAAGCATTGAGAACTTTGTCAGTGTCCAGACAGTTTAATAAGAAGATATTTAATACATACAGTCAACTTCGCGTATACAGGCAGGAGCCATCTTTGAAATACAGTCTTTACCAGTCGATCTACAAACGCCGATCCAAGTGCGCTGGTGAGAATGTGAACGAGCTATGAGTTGTGATAAGGTGAGCGCGAACAGCAGGCTTGGATCGGCGTTCGTAGATCGAATGGTAGAGACTGTATTTCAAAGATGGCTTCTGCCTGTATACGCGAAGTTGACTGTATGTATTAAATATCTTCTTATTAAACTGTCTGGACACTGACAAAGTTCTCAATGCTTCGGTTTGAAGGTAGGGACCCTCATTATGCTACCGTGCTAGTGTGGGGCTATTTTCAGCCTTGTTAGTGGTATTAACAAGCGATTTTTATGTGTCATTGATCTATGCCCAATATACTAGCGTTATACTAGCTTTATAGGCTAAACTGTTTTTAGAGATAAAACTATTTACATTCGATAATCATGAAAACAAATCTCAGATAACGGTTGACTAGGTACCAATGTGTAATTAGACCAAAGGTTCATTTTGCGCCGGAGTTCTCCTTTAAATATCAATGAACATACATACCTGTATGTACTGAACAATATTTTATTTTTTACATGCGATTATTACATTTCTGTACTAATTCTAACCACACAATAAAATAAACCTATTGTACCTGATAAACTTTATTTGTTTAATTAATATTTTTTGTTATATTGTATTTTTCCTATTGTTTGTAATTTGCTTATTTTTTGTTATTTCTAAATAACAGATATTAGATCAAATAACACAAAATAATAACTATATGGTGATATACGTATATCGTTATCGTGAAATCAAATTTCTCATTTCGTGAAATAAGAATTTGGTCATTTTGCACACCCTAATTGTCATTAATGTTTTAATGAAGGAGTGGAAATTAAACAAGGATGTTGAATAATAGCCTAATATTTATGACTCAAACCCCTTGATTAGTGAGATTAATTGGTAAACTATATCATTATAATTATTAAAATACAAAAAATTATATATGCAATAGGACATTGCACAAATGCCTTCTCTGCATTTGGACAATTAAAAGTCTCTGAACCAGTTTTTACAGCATTTTCCTCAGTGTGTTTGAATCAGGTGGTGTTTTGATGACTTTTAGAGGATGTATGAAGTTCACATCACAATTTTGGGGTTTTTGGCTTTTCATAAAGTTTTTTTTTTTCCAGACTAGTGGAAAGAAAACATCCAAAATACACTTTTAAGTGAATGTTTTATAGCACTTGATCTATCTTATAAGGCTGTTTCCTCAAAATGAGTTTTGTTCTCCACTTAATCAGCTTTACATACACCAAACTTTACAGTTTTGTTCCTATCTATATTCTGAAGGTTTTTACACAGAGATTTGTTCATAAATATCTAATTTGCCTGATTTTATACATAATGTAATTCCTACATTTTTTTTGAAAATTTATTTTTTTCTGGCTGTATGATAAAAGTGATAAAAAGAGAAATCCAAAATCCCCTCTGTAAAAAACCTTTGAGTCTAATATGTATTAAATTAAACAGGAATTTTGAACCTGGCTTATCCAATGCTCAGATTTTTGTTCTAAAAATGTATGCAAATGAGCAGATATTTAATTAGATCATGCCTAATTTGCATATTTGAACATAACATTTCAGAAAACTTGTAATACAATTTTTTTTGTGCAATTCTTAATGTAATCAATCAACTGGATAAGTATTGTGAAATCTATTAGTTATTGTGTACCCTATATTCACCAGGGGTGATCAATGATGTGTGTGTGTGTGTGTGTGTAGCTCAGTCTTGCTCATTTATAGACTATACTGTGTTATAACCGAATGACATGATGATGTGACTTTAATGTTCCCTCATTAGAAGAGACTTTAATGTCTACTACCTATTTTCCGATTTATTTATTGATAAACTTTGAGTATAATATGTCAAAAAACTAAATAAATTAAACAGGAATTTTGAACCTGGCTTTAAAGACCCACTCCGATGAAAATAATGTTTTTCTAGGTGTTAACATGTTCTTGTGGCATTTTTCTTATGTTAGAGGACATATCTTGAGAAAAATAAGCTCAAAGTTGTATTTCTGAGTATTTCTACATTCAAATGGCTGTGAATCAGTAGCAGACGCTAAAATGCCGTTCAAAATAGACTGGAGTTGTGACGTAGTAACTCCACTGGGCGGGGCCACAAGCTTGTTAAAATTAATCGAAAGTGCCCCTCTCAAACAAATATCAATGATAATATTGTTTTCAATAAAACAAAATGCATTTGATTATAATTAACATGACAATGTGACAAAATTCACGTTTACTTGTATGTTTCTGTCGGTTTGAGCTGTCGTTGCCATGACTCGTTGCTATGGGTTGCGTCACTTGCGTGTCTTGCATCGGACTCGACTGAAGGGGTCAGTCTCCGTTTTCGAGGCCGAGGGTCAGTAATGTGGACGGCAGGAGCGCATAATCGTTGCAAAAGTTATGCATTTTAAAACGAAAACGCACTGTACGGCTGGATAGCGCCAATATTGCTCTCAATTTTTGTTGCACCGGTAATGACAGGTTGGGGGTGTAAGCTAGCGGGAGAGACAGAGCTCTCAGCAACGGGGAGGGGGAGGGTCATCTCCGTGCCAACGGCTCCGCCCACAACGCAGAGGCGAATTGCTAATGAGCTACTGCCGCTCTGCTGAAGCAAAGTCCCAGAAAACGGCACAGGTTTTGTGAGTTTGGCTAAAAATGGCATAATCATAATTTAAAGACCACTGGGAATGTTTACAAATAGCTCAAAATATGATCGGAGTGGGACTTTAACCAATGCTCAGATTTTTGTTCTAGAAATGTATGCAAATGAGTGGATATTTAATTAGATAATGCCTCATTTGCATATTTGAACATAACATTTCAGAAAAATTGTAATACAAAAAACATTATTATGTAATCTTAATGTAATCAATCATCTGGATAAGAATGATGAAATCTATTAGGTATTTTTTTTACCCTATTTTTTTTTTTACCCTATTATATTTTTAATGTGTGTGTAGCTCAGTGCTCATTTATAGACTATATTTTTAATGTGTGTGTGTGTGTAGCTCAGTGCTCATTTATAGACTATATTGTGTGTTATAACCTTATGACATGATGACGTGACTTCAATGTTCCCTCATTAGAAGAGACTTCATGTCAAATACTTACATATCTAATCCCAAGCAAAGTTGTCCGCTTGTCGGGAAAAGAAGGTCTTCCCAGAGAAACTGAAGATGTCATGTTTGTTGTGTCAAACGGCATTTCCTCTTTCGTGTTTGTTCATGGCTCCCCCCATCGGACTCTCTGTAAAATGGTCGGTTATTTGAGCGAACCGCCCCGTTCTTCACTCATTTGAGGAGAGAAGCCGCTGACTTTCTTCTTCATGCTCGCTGGCTCTTGATGGACATTATAAAACTTGACAGGTAAACAACGCAAAGAGCTTTCGCGGTGTTTTCTTTCACGCGCACGAGCCACGACAGGGTTTCATCCGCGCGCTTGTAACGGAAATTTTTGGTACGTCATTAATATGGCGCCAAAAGAGTTATAAGTGTGAGCTTAATGTTGCGATCCCGCACCTCAGTCGGTCTTGTTTACGCGGAAACAAACAAACAAACAAACAAAAACAGAATGTAAAACGCCTCATTGGACGGAAACGAAATTTAGACGCTATAGAGACGGGGTTTGGACGTTAAACTCGATGGCTTGTCACGTCACTGGAGCAGTTAGTGCGCTTCACTTTGCAGGGATGTGAGGAAATGCTTTCCTCAGAAACATTTTCACGGACGACGAACAGATGAACGTTGCTATAATAAGTGTGGAAACTGCGATTTTAGCAACTCGACGGACCGCGGCGCAGGACGCCATTTAATGTGGATTAAACCCGCCGACTGTAACTTTTATTCGGGCTGTGGAGGGGAAATCATCTGTCACACGGATGCTGAGGGACATACATGTGCCTGGCCTCAGATGATCATGATCCGCTGATTTCTGTGCATCGAGGACATCACGCCCTCTTGTGCAAACCGCAAATAAGGTAAAGCGAAAGAATGTGCCATCTTTTCTGGTATCACGCAGTTTCAGGATGGGCGTTTGTGTTACATTAGATTTAAGTTTGCCTGAATTCTGCAGCCTCATTCTGAGATCAAGATACGGATCCTCACGAACTGAAGCGATATGCTTTATTAATGATCGCAAATATGTCTGTTTTCGACCTGTCTGTCATTATTGGTAAACTCTTCCGTGCAAAAATAGTCTTGAGTTTTTATAGGGAGGTAACGTTAGAGCTTTTACTCAGCTGACTGCAACTGATTATTCTAAAGTTATTTGAAAGTGCAGTGCGCTCACACTATATCTGTTTTAGATGAAATTAGTGGTTGTTTTAGTATCGTGAAGTTATAAACGCTGGATGGCCTAGCATGCTTCTGCGAAGAGATTCACTAACAAGCCCTGCGGGTCATCAGCCACGCCCCCTTCAGTCTGCTGCTCGTGACGTTCGCGGAGGGGGCGTGGCTGCGTTTGAGCAGCGGGAAACCGCGTTTCATATTTTACCTTATCTATATTAATAGTGTTTTACAAGTCTAGTTTTCCATTTTAAATGCTTACAATTAAAGTTAGAAATAATAAAATAATACATTTTAAAAAGTCAAATCAAAATTGGCAGTTCTTATTTATATGGAATATTGTGGCATTTATTATAAATTATTTTTATGTGCATCAATATACTTGTTTTAAATTTATGTGCCTTCATAATCTTTGATTAAAAATATTGTTCCCCCCCCCCTATTGCTGTGATGTCTCTTCTCTGATGACATGTTGACTGGTGTGAGGGAGGGGCAACCTGTCACTCACGAGTTTGACCAATAGCAAGCCGCAACCATCTGTAGCTCAAACAGTAGCATAGATACATTATGCTCCTTTAACTTATGAAACTGATGTATTGTGTGTTGAATCATATTTATATTTTTGTTTTAAGGAAATATACCGGTATTTAAAATTTAAATTTAATTTACGTTAAGAATGCAACTGTGGGGTAATTTTCCATTGCTCCTAATACTTGGAAACAAGTTTTTTTTTAACAGTTCATCGTCCTTAAGTCAATGGGTTTCTTTGTTTGTTTTGTTTCAAAGTTGAATATATAATCAGTAATATAATCAGGCTTTAATGTATAAATTAACTGGGCAGGCCCACTGTATAAATTAAGATTGATCTTTGTTAAAGCTGTGTTTTGTTGTTTGATTAACATTAACGACTTGGCAGCAGGTATTTACAGGCTGCCGTCACTTTAATGCTACGTTCACACCAAACGCGAATTGAGCGTCAAATTCGCTTCTATCGCGTCTAGTTGGACGCTTGAACATTTTGAATCCACTCGCGCGTCCAAAGCAAATGGGATCGTGTATATAGCGAGCGTTTGAAGCGAAATAGACGGGCGTTCGAGGTGAAATCCGCTTCCTGTGGGAGGGGCCAGTGCTAGGCAGTGGTCTGTTTGCAAGATGGCTGATGTTGATCAAGCATTCATCGAGAGAGTCACCGCTCTGTATTTCATCATCGTCATCGTCGCCTTACTTGGGTCCACAGGACCCTTCGGAGGCGAACCCAGTTTGGCGAGTTTCACCTCTCGCTCCAGGAGCTGCGCCTGGATGACGGCCGCTGTCAGCGGTACCTCCGCCTGTCCCGCGCCCAGCTTGATGACCTGTTGTCCCGCATCGGAGCGAGGATCACCCATGTTGAATGAGTGACTCAGGGCGGGCCTGCCCCCGTTTATCACGTCACTTCACCATGTGACAGCAGCAAGCAGGCTCCTGATCGGTTAACGCGGCGCAAACAGACGTCAAAGTTCAGATTGTTCAACTCGGGCGGCAATTTCGCTTCAAACGCGTGAATGCACAAAAAGCACCAAATAAAATCTCTTGCGCATATCACGCCAGATGCTCGATGCGCCTCTTTCGCGCGACCTCCCGCAGGACCTCCAGACACGCGCCAACGCGTCTTTACATTGACTTAACATGGAAATCACTCGCTCCAGGCGCTCAATCCGAGTTCAACTTAATGCACGGATCCAATATAATGATGCAGATTTCTTTCTCAACGCTCACCTACCAACTGTGTTTACGAGAATATTTGCCGAGACTGATATTTTGACATAATTTTGTGTGTATGTGTCCGTTAAAGTGCAGAAACACGTGGTCCATACACTAAACGGAACCGCATATTTTTTCGGACGGTTTCTCTTTCGGCCAAGACAATGCCATTTTCGGCCAATAATTTTCAGCGCATCCCTACATAAAATATATCAGTAATGCCTTCTTGTAGGGGTGGAGCGGAACGCAGCCGACCCCTGATCTGTGCGGACCAGCTGCCCCATGCTTCAGCACACATGCGTTTCATGGATTAAAGGCACACAATGCAGGAATTCCGTTTTTGTCAAACAGCGACCCTAGAGTCGCTGTGGAGTACTTGTGGAGAATGTTACTGTCGTAAATACCACTCACGCAGAGCGTCTCTGCCATAGACTGGTCTCTGCACTCACAGCCTGATACCCCTTTGAAGCTGTTATATTAAGGTACAAATCTTGCATTTTTTGCATTAAATAAGAGATCTAGCGCTAAAATGTGTTTTTGAACTCCAGCTGAGCGCTCGTGTCCGCTGCTATCAGTGTCATGGATACAGTGTTCTCTTGTGGCGGCGCGCACGCAGTCTTCACTCGGACGCGCTCTTCAATCTATCGCAGTTGCGGAGACTCTCTATTCATTCCGGTGAAATCACAAAATAAAATGCACACAAACGTGTCCCTGCTTGATATAGACTGTAACCACTGTAACCTCTGACACGCTTGGCAAAAGATTTACCACTAGACCATTAAAGAACTCAAACAAAACCAGCGGATTGATGCATTTATTTACGGGTTGAGCTAGGGCTGGGCGATAAAATGATCTCATATGGCATCGCGATAAGATTTATGTAGACTACGATGATAAACTTTTGACATATTTTACTCGATGTAGATAGACCTAACAGCCTATTACAAAGCAGAAATAAACAGACAACAGCCAGTCAGACCGCAGATTTTGGCTTGTGCGTCTAAGTACGTGTACGCCTATTTGCTAGCACTGTTTGAGCTACCGGCAGTGAAGAAAGTGAATGTAAAGAAAAAATGAGCGGAACCGACATGCACGAAAGCGACGGTGAAAGCCCAACATGCTAGTGGTTCTTCTGCTGTTAGCAGCGCAAACGGGGCTGTAAGTTACCTAAACAACAACCAATTGTGTCGTCTTTTGCGACCATTGCCCCTTATGAAAAGCGATCAAAAAGGAGCAATATTATTTAATAACAAAATATATTCTCAACCAAGCCATGTTTGCACAGTTAAATGTTTGCATTATGTTATTCAAATTTTAAGTTTCAAACTCTAACGTTAAAGGCTATTGAACCTTCTGGTTTCTTCAGGCATCATTATCAGTATACTCTTTAAACGGGTAGTATTAGGGGTGGCCGGTATGACCAAAATTGTGTTTCGCGGTATGACTAATTTTATTTCGGTAACGATATATTTCACGATATAGTTATTTATATATGTAGTTATTCTCGAAAAATCGACAAAAGGGGCTTTGTATAATAGATAAACCCAAATACTTTAGAAATGAAAAGAACTTCACCTTGCATGATTTTTCTTTTATTTGGTAAATTATTTTCTTTGGTAAACTATTTTGATAGCTAAATATACTAAACAAAACACACTCATCAATAAAAATGAGATAAACTTCCCATAACTGATTGATATTAAATACAACTCACTTTATTTAAACTTTAAAAAAAGTGTTGCTGAATCATTTTTCAATCTCATGCATTGCTTTATCAATCAGTTTATAATATCTGAATATTTTATATGAACTATTCTATTCATAATAAATTAGTTACTTCCTTTTAATTTTGTAGGGTATTAGTAATGCTAAATGTTTAAATGTGTTCCCCGGTACATTTTTACCATGTGCTTATTATTCTGCGTTTTTAAGGGGCTTGCTTTGCTCTTTTTGTGATATCTGGCAACCCGTCACCCTGAGCTTTAATCAAGAGGAGTTCAAAACTGTCAAGTTCATCAAGTTCAGAAGTGACTAGAGCCGCGTTTCCACCGCAATTGCCCGGAACAATTTGTCCCAGGAACTTTTTTCCCAGGAACTTTTTTTGCCCCAGACCGGTAGCTTTCTGCGTTTACATCGCGGTCTAAAGTACCGGGTAAACTGCGCGCGACTGCTCATTGCTTGCTTGTGACGGACAGTAGACTGTAAAAGACAGTAATCAGTTTTGAGCGCCACATTTATAATAAATATGGAAGAGATTCACACTGTGCTGCAGTTGTTTGAGATGTATTGGTTTACTAACCAGGACAGTAATTAACAAAACGGCAGAAAAGAGACGAGCACTGATACTAAAGCGTGTTCAGAAAGCTCGTAATGCTAACGTTAGATCTAAAATTAGACAGCGTATGTTATCAGCTATTGCGGACATTGACCGTGAGAAGGCTGGGACGAACGCGCAGAAAATTTCTCTTCCGCAAATACGCTTAATAAAGCCTGAATCTCGTCGTCGGTCCAGCTGCCTTTTTTATTTTTATTAAATTCCATATTTGCAGACAGACAACTCTTACTGCATGGAACTTCATTACTGCATGAAGCCACGAACTGCAATAGATTCTAAAAATTCCGGTTAAAATAAAATGCTGCGCGGAGTTATCCAATCATAATGCGGCGTGAACACAACCAATCAGCATGTTCAGCGCACAAGCCCCACCCGCGAAAGTTCCTGAACTTTGAAAGAGTACTACCTCGCGAGCAGGGACTTTCGGAGGGGGAAATATCTACCCGGAACTTCATTTAGACCCTGGTTCCTGCGGTGTAAACACACCGAGTACCAGGCCAAAGTTCCTAGTTCCTGGGTAAAGTTCCTGCGGTGGAAACGCGGCTTAGGAGCAGTATGAACCGAACAGCATCTACTGTTAGTGTTGACTAAGTAGTTTAAGTTATACACACCTTGTAA